ACTGTGTGGCAAACTGAGGCCAGAAATGAACATGCACCTATGCGAGGAAGTGCTTTGAATACACAGTGAAACCTAACTTCAAAGTCTGCTGTCTGAATCTCAGAGGCGGCGAACAGGAAAGAACTGGTTCTTAATAAACACGACTAAATAGCTGCAGTAGAGGCTGAAAAGAGACATTCCTCATCACCAATGCTGCACTTAACCGCTTTTTAAAACCAGGCTTTGTGAATTATAAACTCACCCCAATCAAGAGGGCATTCCCAGTTTCTACTACATGACTAGTACTGTGACATTTTCTTTTAGTACAAAACTACAGTTTGTATGCTTAAGAGTTTTTTGGGAGACAGGGGAGAGTAGGGGATTGGGCCTTTGCATGGTTACATCTTCGTAGCTTTTCGTTTTTGAGACAGTATCTCACTAAGCTGCTCACTAAGACTGAGCTGCAACTTGCAATCTTCCTGCTTCATCCTCCCAGAGTACTAGGATTACACCAGACCTGGCTTCCCCACTGCAGTATTTCTTTGGCTTTTTAATTTAGTTCTACCTATCTGACTTGAGGATTTATAGCAGAATTTTTTGAAACATAAATTCAAAGAGCCTACACACTCAACATGCTACTGAATAGTTTTCGGTCTGATGTTAACTAACATAGTTATGCACTCATCTCCGTACTGTACACCCACATCCAGCCAAAAAATTGTCAGGTTCAATTCTCAACATGTTCCATGAGCTTACAAATTTATGATTAATTAATCTTTTTGTGCTTTGGTTTCCTCATCCATCAAACGTAGTAAATAACAGGATCTATTCTATAGTGTTACTCTAAGGATTAAATAAGAACATGCAAATTAACTATAGGGGTACCTATCACAAAAAGTTCAAGAAGTACTGGAATTTTTAAAAGCCAAATTCAATATACATGAATATAAGACTCCTAATGTCACAAAACAGAGTGGAAGACGATACTTCGACAAGAGCTAAACACAACAATCTTCTCCAATCATAACTGTGTTGTTTTCCTCAAATTTACAATTTTTCAGTTTACTTACGGAATTAAGGGATATCTGTGAATCAGTGATACTAATTTAAGGAGCAATGAATATATAATGTACATAAGAAAATCTCTAAGGGATGGAGATGCAGCCCTGTGGTAAAGTCTGCCTAACAAGCCTTGGGTTTAAATCCTATTACCACAAAAATAAAGAAATAAGGAAAGGAAGTCTATTAGTAATATACTAGTCATACACACAAAGACTAAATACAGTAAAATATAGATTGATAAGTTAGAAGCTAGCTAGCGTAACAATAAACCTTACAGTGCTTTATAATATATCAGCATATATACCTGTCAAATGACCTAGGTCACTTTAAGTGAGTAAACATGCTGCCTCGCTCCTTCTCTCAGGAGCACGCTGAAGGGATTCTCCCTGCTCAGGCCCTGTCTCACACACAAGCGGTGAATCGCCAGCTCTACCCAGAACCAGCCCGGGCTTGTTCATTCTCTCTCAGTCCCACTGCAATCAGAAGAAACAACTGCCTCCTTGCCACATGGGGAAGCTCAGGGCATTGGGTAAGCCTTATATTCAGACTACAAAAGAACTTAAGAATACCTCCCTCCGGTTTTCTCCTATAGGAGCAAGGAAATTCTGGGCACTCAGCAATGTCCCCAAGGAAAAAAAGTCAGTATTCACCAAATTACCCCTCTTGGCCGCCAAAGAACAATGGGGCTTCAGTAATTTCCTTCTTTTATTTTTTTTTTTTTTTCCTTTTTATCGGTACCAGGGATCGAACTCACGACCGCCTGCTTGCAAGGCAGGTGCTTATGCCGCTGAACTAAACCCCCAGCCCCTAATTTCCTTCTTTTAAAGCAGAAATAGATAGAGCGTGACTTCAACATTAGCCAAATGTCAACTAACTGCAAGGTGCACTTGTTCCATGTCAGCACGTGGGCTGGTTAGCAGGGATCCGGGCCTTGGCCACAGACTGCCCCAGCCCTACTGAGCTGTCTAAAAATGACAGCCACAGATGAGAAAGTGGGCGCTACTGTCCTCCCTCTCAACTGGGAAAAAACACAAAGGCAAAAAGCCCCAAATGTCTGTCACCTCATCCTAATTCAAATGAATTACTACTTGTCAAGCTTGAACTGACAAGCTAGGGCCCTTAGTTAACAAAGATTCAATCAGCAAGCTCCCAACCCAGAAGATACCCAGTGGCTCTTTAAGAGTGTATACTAGGAAAGTTTAAAGTACCACACAGAAGTGTCTTGAAAATTGCATTTCAATAATATTCTTAGTCCTCATGGAAGATGAAAAACCTAGTTTTTTTCATTCCAAGCAGTCTGTTAAAGGAAATCAACATTACTTGTAAACAGATTCCAAGCCATCAGAAAGGTAAAATAAAAATACACTTGTGTGTTTTAGATACATTTTTTAAATCATTTGTCAGATTTGTGTTCTAGCAAAATTCTTATAACTGACCACATAAATTCAAACTTACAATGAATCTTTACAGTCTCATGTCTTTGAATACATAATAAATGCATGACTCCTTATCACATTATAAGACATCTGTAAGAAAACTCAAAACAAGTAAGGCACAATGGTGCACACCTGTAACCCCGGCACTTTGAGCACCTCAAACAAGATCATGTTCCAGGTCAGCCTGAGCGACATAGTGAGACCTTGTCTCAAAACCAAACAAGCAAAAAAAAAAAAAAAGAGGGCAAGGAAGAAAAAGGAAAATAAAATTACAATATGATATGTATGTGTACCAATTCCCCAAGATGAATTATTATGTATTGCTAACAAATACTAATTAAGGAAAGAAAAACTGGGTTGGTTTTGTTGTTTTTTGCCAATGAATACTAATTAAAAAAAGAAAAAATGGGTTTTCTTTAAAAAAAGGTGCTTGTATTCTCTTTGGGTAAAAAGTGATTTAATTTATAACTTTATTTTTCTTTTTCTTTGTGTGTGTGTCTTTTACAAACAGGGTCTTGCTAAGCAGTTCAGGCTGGCCTTGGGCTCACTTTGTAGCCTAGGCTGGTCTTGAACTTGCAAATGATTGTCCTGCCTCAGCCTCCCCAGTGCTGGGATTTCAGAAGTGTGCCAGCATACATGGTTCAACTTTATTTTTCTTAAAAAAGCTCTACTGGTAAAAAGACTTTCACATTGCCAGGTATAGTAATATTTTCCAGCAAAGAGTTACCACACAAAATACAATTACCTTAGCCAAAGTGTCCCCTAGTGTCTCCTAAATACAAACCTAAATAAACAGGGTGTGGTGGTGCATGCCTGTAATCCCAGCACTTGGGAGGCTGAGGCAGAACTGATGCAAGTTTGAGGTCTGCTTGGGCTACAAAGTGAGTTCAAGGCCAGCCTGAACTGCATTAATGAAACCCTGTCTCAAAAAGACAAAAATACGTAAAATAAATAAATAAACCTAAATAAAGCAATGTTAGAATGCTTACTATCAGGGAGGATCAATTTTATTTTTGAAATATTTGGAGAAAAATGAAGTCTATTTTGGCTAACCTATACTTCTTTTTTTTTTTTTTTTTTTTTTTTCCTGACCTATACTTGTTGCCATGGAAGATTAGGGTTTATTTCCAGGAGAAAAAAAAAAGAAGAAGAAATTACCCAAAAGGTCTCTGGAGTTAATGTGTGTATAGGTACAAACAGCAAATTATACCTCTGAAAAAACTACAAACCTGCCAGAGGCAATAAGTGACTGAGATTTAATCCCAAAACAGGGAATTTAGAAGGCGGGCAACTACTAAAGTGGTTAAGTCATTTTATTTCTTTCAGACTGTTGTTTGTGAGGGTTTGGGGTTTTTGTTTTGTTTTGTTTTGTTTTGAGATAGGGCCTCACTATGTATTCCAGGTTAGCCTTAAACTCACTATGTAACCCAGGCTAGCCTCAAACTTCTGACAGTCCTCTTGCCTCAGCCTCCTGAGATTTTCCATGTGTACTAACATGCCTGGCAGTTCTTATGATCACCATGACTAGAAAGAACTAAATAGAAGAAATAGATTATGAAGTACCATGTTGACAGAACTTCCTTACCTGAACTGAAACATTCAATCCCTTCCCACTCCCATCACCCTAGACCCACATTGATGCTGGCCCAGCCCCATGCTCACCTGTTCCCTCTATCTGACATGTCCTACACTCTCCTGAAAGATGAGGAGACAAATGCCAACCTCTCTGAAGCTCTCCCAACTGAAGAGTTAGAACCTACCTGTCTATGAGTTCAAATATTTTGTTATGCCTCTAAAGGGTACCTATTACAAACTACATTGAAAAACAGTTCAGCTACACTTGTGCTCAAATTCTATCACCACCAGCAGATCATAAAACAGTATCACCACTGCAGTATAATGCTCAAAACCATAAACGAGGAACTTGGTTTTTATCACTTTTGCATGCAGAGGGCATTGGCTATACATGAGCAATATAGACTACAAAGTCTTCATCCCAAAAACCTCAAAAGAAAAGAAAAAGTCATATCCCACAAGGCCAAGAGTCACCCATCTATAAACCAGACCCCGAGTTCTAGTCCTTGGATTCTAATGACTATACACTCGGCTAGGAATACTTCCCATTTTGTTCGGCATGATAACAAGATACTCAAACACATTCCAACACAGGAATAAAACAAAGTCTGAAATGGTTGCATTACAGTGAAACTCCTATAGGAATTAATACGCTAACACACAATGTAAATTTCAATTATGAAACTTACAGTTAGGGCTGGTCTGGTGGCCCATGCTTATAATCCTGGCACTCAGGAGGCTGAGGCAGCAGTGTCATGAGTTCAAGATTCATGAGTTCCAGACCAGCCTCTACTATACTAGATAGGCCCTGACTCAAAACATCAAAAATAACTTTAGTACACTAAGTTGAGCAAGATCCTGAGAAGCATTTGAAATGTTTCAAAGGTATCTTAGGATTTAATCAAAAGGTCACTAGGTACATCACAGTAACATCTAAAAGCTATTTACCTGATGTGTGTTGCAGGTAGAGATTCGTACTGGCGTGACAAGAAGAGCTCCCGATGTTTCAGCTGATGCTTCTGTTTATCAGTCAACTCGATCTCAACTGTTGTTTCAGATTCTTCCTCAATTTCCTCTATATAAATAAAATTCAAAGAATCCATTATTACAAAGCCTGGTGGCCAAAGAATCCATTATAACATTATTATCATCTCTCTGAATACTAAGAATTAAAAAGATAGGTCAAGGACTTAGCGGTTTAGCTCAGTAGCTCAAGCGCTTGCCTGGGAAATACAAAGTCATGAGTTTGATCCCCAAAACATAAGCACCTAAAGAGAACATAGAGAAACTGAATTTAATTTTAAAATGTTTATGCTTAGAAGGGCACTTATCAAGGCTGGGTATGATAGCACATACCTGTAATTCCAGACCTGGGGAGACTGAGGCAGGATCCCTGCAAGTTCCAGACCAGTGTGAGTTCAAAGCCAGCCTAAACTGCATAGTGAAACCCTCCAAACACAGTTTAAAAAAAAAGAAGACACTACTGAGAAAGCAAAGAGACCAAAAGGACCCAGCATCAACAAGGAACATTCAAGCCCCTAACTCCAATTATGTGTGCTCACTGCAACTTGTTCCAGTGCAGAAGTCCTTCCTCCTGGGAAATGTGTGCAGAAAGGAATCTAACTTCTACCAGCCTCTCTCAAGAAAAGGCTCTCAAACAGTCACTGATAACCTGCTTCTATCAGTTTCTATGTAGCACAAGAGCTCCCTGGCTGTTATCTACTCAGTCAATCCTCTATACACAGATTTATTCATTTAAAAACAAAAGCAAAGGGATGAACCACAGCACAGGAGAAATTTCTACTAATCACGTAACTGGATAAAGGTCTAGGATCCATCATACAAAAGACAATTCTCAGGGTGTTATGGTACACATCTGTAGTCCTACCACTTGGGAGGCTGAGACAGATTCTCATGAGTTCAAGGCCAACCTGGACTACACAGTGAAATTCTGATTCAAAAAAACTAAAAATAAATAAATAAATAAATAACAGAACAAGACAATCCAATTAAAAAAGGATTTGAATGGGCAATTCTTCAAAAACATATACATATGGCCAGTAAGTAAAGACACTCAGTATCAGACATTAGAAAACGCAAATCAAAGCCACAATGAAATTACACTCATGAATTGCTTTGGATAAAAAAAATGCTCCATAATAAATTTGATCATCATGCATATTTAAAATGTACCCATAAATTCTAATTAAAAGAAAAAAGAAAAACATGTTTTCACTGTGGTGTGAACATCACAGAATGTACTTCCACAAGTCTAGATGATACAGTCTACTACACAGCTAGGCTATATGCAGTGGCCTACTGCTTGCAAGCCTGGATGCTTATCACTGAATACTGTAAGCAATTCTAACACAGTATCTGTGTGTCTAAATATAGAAAAGATAAATACTTAGGAGACAGATTTTTCAGCTCTGTTATAATCTTACAGGACATCACCTGGAATATGCAACTGGTCCTAACTGAAATATCCGTACATTGTTCATGACTCTGCTCCACGCCAGCTGGAATGGCCACCATCAGGACAGCTTCACAGTTACCAAAGCCAATTTCACATGAACAGAACAAAAATTATCCCTTCTATATAAAAATCCAGAATAGCGGGGCTGGGGATTTAGCTCAGCGGCGTAAGCGCCTGCCTTGGAAGCAGGCAGTTGTGAATTCCATCCCGGTACTGGTAAAAACGAAAAAGACAAAAAAAAAAGGAAAAAAAAAATCCAGAATAGGCAAATGCAGAGGCAGAAAGAAGATTAGTAATCACCACTAGAAGGGGGAAATGGGGAATGTTAAAGGACAGAGTGTCTTTCATAGGCAAACAAAAAAACTGTCCTAGACTTGAAAGTTATATAAATTTATGAATATACTAACTCCACTGAAGTACACACCTTTTTACAGGGGTAAACTATATGTGAATTATGTCAACTTAAAAAAAAAAAAAAAAAAGATAAATCCACCCCAAAAAGACAAATAATGGTCAAGCGCAGCTCATTCATCTTTGGCTACTAAATAGTGAGGTTTTATGGGGGGTTTTATTTTTTTTGAGATGAGCATCTTGCTATGTTGCTCACCCTGCCTTCAAACTAACAGTTCTCTTGCTTCAGCCGCTGAATTGAGACTACAGCTATCTGGGAGGCTGACGCAGAAATACCACAAATTCGAGTACAATCAAGGCAACTTAGGAAGATTCTGTCTCCAAAAAAAATTTACTTTGTTGTCATTTTTTGTAGACAGAAACACACATCCAGACCCCTCTCACCCCAACCCAGGACACCCAGGTTTAGAAGCTCAGGTAAAGTCACACACATTCACGCTCAGTGAAAAATTTATAGCACTAATTTTAAAACATTTTTAACACCTTGCAAGCACTTCTCAATTTTTTTTTTTTTTTTACAGGATCCACACTTCTTGTCACACTGAGAACCTCGAAGAGGTTTCATTTTTTGTTGTTTTTTGTTTTGGGGTTTTTTGTTTTTTGAGACAGGGTCTCATTATTTTGTTCAGGCTGGCCTCAAATTTGCAGCAATCCTCCTACCTCAGCCTCCCAAGTGCTAGGATTACAAGTGTGCCACCACAACAGACCAAGAGCTTTTGTTTCTATGGACTATCCAATATTTATTAAAGAGTAAACAGCATGTATTTTTTGAGTTTTTGTTGGTTTTTGCTTATTTGTTTTTGTTGTTTTGGACATGGTCTCAGTATGTAGTTCAGGCTGGCCTTGAACTTACTATGGAGCCCAGTGTGGCCTTGAACCCACAGCACTCCTACTGCCTCAGCCTCCCAAGTAATAAATTTAAAAGTGTGTGCTACCACACCTGGCCAAAAAAATTCCCCCCACCAAAAAAAAAAAAAAATTTTTTTTTTTGAAACAGGTTCTATCTAGTTCAGAGTGGCCTTGAACTCACTATGCAGCCCAGGCTGGCTTCAAATTTGTGATCCTCCCAAGCGCTGATATTACAAGCATGTGCCACCATACCTGGGTAAAAATTTTAAACCACAAAAAATTGCAGCACACATCCCATTAATCAGCATGGAGTCTCTGGAAAACTCAGTGGGAGAACCGGCAACACAGTTCAATGCCACCCTGGCATGATATGATCAAAATCACTGTGACCTCACAGAGCCCCCGAGAGAAAGTCAGGAGCAACTGATCTATGCAAAAGAAATCTTTCCTGAAAGTCTAACAGGGAAGGGGCTGGGGATTTAGCTCAGCGGCATAAGTGCCTGCCTTGAAAGCAGGCAGTCGTGAGTTCGATCCCTGGTGCCAATAAAAACGAAAAAGACCAAAGGAAAAAAAAAAGAAAGTCTAACTCCAAGGAAAAATCCAGCTAGCACTAGAGCTTTGTTCCCCAACTTTAAGAAGTCTATCTTAAAAAAAAAAAAAAGAAAGAAAGAAATCTCAGAGATTTTATCTTCACATTATGAGATACAATGACTCATCAGTTCTGCTGCAAGTGAAGATCCCATCAGAATTTTAGCTATTTCTGCTTTATATTTATTCAAAGAACACTTCATCCGGCAAAGGCTGCCCAATTTTATAGCAAATTCAAAGTCCATCTGGAATTATATACAGCCTTAACATGTCACCATGCAATTTTCCATGTTATCAACTGTAAAACCTAAGGCACAAAAGCATTTGAAGTAATCAAATTATTTAGTACCACCAGAGCATCATTCTTTTTAATCCGTTACCAATATAGCAGCCAGATTTTCCTCTAGTATAATTTAAATTTCTTTCCCACTTTAATAAAAAGACCTCAACTCCTGGGCATGGTGGCATGTCTATAATCCCAGTACTCAGGAGGCTGAGGCAGGAAGACTGCTGCTAGTTGAAACCAGCCTGGGCTACACAGAGAATCCAAGGTCATCCTGAACTATACAGCGAGCCTCAAAAAAACCAAAACAAAAAATGTTTTTTAATTAAAAACAAACAGTCCTCAACAGTTTTCACATACCATTCAGATAAAAATTCAACTTTCATGGCTATAAATCTCCCCACATCTGTCCTGTCATCATACATATCGTAAGGAGCTATGGTCTACCTTCTATCTGACCCAGAGCTAAAAAAACATACAAGGGCCAAGTACACAGCTCAGCGGCGTAAGCACCTGCCTGGTAAGCATGAGGTCATGAGTTTGATACCCAGTACCAAAAACCAACCAACAAACAAAAAAATCCCAACACCCAAAAACCTATTACTGATGTGCCGAATGTGTTCTGAAGACATTTTAAGGAAACTTACAAGTCCTGTCTAGGATTACAGTTCACAAAAAAAATTTTTTAATTAAAAAAAAAAAAGATTATAGTACTGAATTCTACACAAGAATACAGTAGATGCTTTTAAGTTTATGACATGAGATAGGATACACCAAAGTAGAACGTAAACTGGGTATGGCAGTGCATGCCTGTAACCCCAGCACTTGGGAGGCTGAGGCAGGAGGATTGTCGCATGTTCAAGGCCAACTTGAGCTACATAGTGAATTCAATACCAAAAACTATATGGCAAGACCCTAAAAACAAAAAATAAAAGCCCAAACCCACAGCTTCAGAAACCAGCGAGGTTTTCTCTGAAGAAACATGCTTATGCTAAAATGGTGAGTATCAGCCTGTTACAACTAGAGAATACCTAGAGAGGATGGCTGGGATCCTCATGTATATAGTTAAGCTTCGATGGACCGTGTTGAAAGTGTTGCTTTTATCATCACAGAGTGGTGACTAAATCAGCTGGCAGCCTGTGCTCCCTAGTACTGGGGATTAAACCCAGGGCCTTCACGCTAAATTACATCCCCAGCCTTTTTATGTTTTTGTTATTTTGACACGAGATCTCCCAAATTGCCCAGACAGAGCTGGAACTTGCAATTTTCCTGACTTAGTTTCCCACTAGCTGGTATTAGCAGAGAGCGGACGACCTCTTTATAACGACTGTACCACTTTTAAAACTGAAAGTATCTCATTTAAAGAAGCCCTCAATGCCAAACAAATGAGGAAGCTGGTCATCTTACCTGACCTACTACTCAACTGATACATTACAGTCTGACCTACTATGTGGTACAGCAACAGCTA